CAAAGGGCCATAGTCCTCTGTTCTCAAAGCTGTACAGGAAAACCAGATGGTGTTCATCTTCCCTCACTACAGCACTAGTGTGCACTTCTCTGCAACTGAGCAAGGCATTGCAGGTTCCTGAATAATCGGTGTAAAGAAGAAGCTTTTGAGGGCACAGTTCTTCTGGTTAGATGAACAGCACTCTATAGGTATCTTTCTTTCCGTTGAGGAAGTCTGTGATGCCTAGCTCAGCATAGTTGCTTGCAAGACGAATCCCACTATGGTGCCAGACATTTCCCCAACCTGGCCAGTTCGAGCATGCTCCAGTGAAGGAGCCGAGTTCTGTGGGAGGACGCTCTGCCAGGGCAGAGATCTTCAGACCAAGAGAAGTGGAGACACAGTGAGACATGTTGATATGCCAGGAGTCACACTGACAGAGTCCAGGACATGTCGGTTACTGCGCACACTCTCAAATTCTCACTGTGTTCAGTTATCTCCAGATCATTATTTCATTAGATTTGTTTATCTGCTGCATCTTTTCCATCTTTTTTCTCAAGAGCAACTTAAATCTGCATTAACATTTGACTATGATCAGCAATCTAACTTTCAATACAGCTCAAAACACGTTGTACAGTGTCACAGGGCATCTCCTCATCAGTTGTGGTGTTGGCTGTCTTGTATTCCTCTCTTCTCACCACAGCCAGGTTGCTAGAAAAATACCATTTGGAGACTACAGGTAGCGATAGTTCTTAAGCATACTGAGAACTTCAGTCAGTCTTAGAATCATTTATGGATGCTACAAGGGTATTTAGTGTTTAATTACAAGTTAAAGATAGGGAGCCTTTTAATTTGCTTTCTTCTCACGTGGCTATTTCCATCTAAGAACTAAAAGAGTGAAAAAATAGTTACTTCCTCTCCCCACTCCCTACATAATGTTTAAAAAGAATGTGAATTTTGGTTTTCTAGTAATTCGTGAAGGTTTATTCTAAAAGGATTCCAAAGTTTCTGTTTGCTCACGTTTCACCTAACTTACTATAGCCTCCTTATTCTGGATAATGAGTAATTAAGTGTGTTCATTTTTATTTGCATTCAGTTCCTGATGAAACACTCAGCAGTAGCAGAGAAAAGAAAGTCAGATTAAGTAATTTTTACTGAATCTCAGGAAAGGTCCAGGTTCAGTTTTCTTCAATAGTGGGATAAAAGGTTCTTGTTTTGTCTGAGCTGGTTCCTTGATTCTTAAGGGTAACCTTGACTGCTGAATTTTGCACTTTGATTTTTAATGATGAAATTATTAATGCTATAAAGCAATGAGATTAGTCTTACTGCCTCGCCCTGAAGAAAGGGGAAAAAGTGGGTTGACCTGGGAAAAGGAATAAACAAATCAGCTTTCCAAACGGAAGCCCAACTTTAAACAGAGAAATCTAGATTAATGCTGCTGGCAGCGATATGCATACCTTTAAAATGGAAATCACTGTAATCTATAAACTGTAGCTTCTGTTTTGTTTCATTTTGACCAATAGACCTTTAACAATGCCCAGCACCACATGGCGTGCTTCAGAGAAAGACGTGGAGAATCCCAGAGGAGAGACAATTGGGTTAATTTGTCCCATAGGGAAGCCTACTCCAAAATCCTGAAACATGACGCTATGCATTCCTTGAACATGCACAGCAACATGCCCTTCGCTTCCAAAATTCTCTTATACAAATACATATCATTATATGTGAGTGTGTATAATGTATATTTGAAGAGATATAAAGGATACACACACTTAATATGGCATCTGAATCATCCTGTTATCTTTCTAAATGCCTTCACTTTTTTTAAGACATCCTGAGAGAATATCTCATGCATATATAGTACAGATTTAGTTTGCTTATTTACAGTTTTCTAGATTACTTCGTCAGTAAAGAGCCAGCCTATTTATCTCAGTTATTTGCATCAGTAATTTGATTAAAGATAGTTGGAGGATGAAGAAATACGTTGCCTAAAATATCCTTAGGAATGTGGCTTTGTTACCAGAAGTCTTTTGACACAGAGGAAGATAAAAAGAAGAGCTTATGGTTTAGGATCATTGGAGATAAATTGTGAAGAGTAAAAAATCAGCTTTGGAGGAAGGGGTAATATTTAGCTGTGAGGCATTGCTATGGCAATAAGGAATCCATGTGGAAGATTATATGAGAGGAAGGGAAGGATAAGCAGGGATAAAGCTGTGTCTGAGGAATAAAGTCATCTTTCTTCACATGTTTTTATGCTGTGCTTATTAAGAAAGTTTGTTGGGAAAAAAAATTGAGCTTCATAAGCTAGGCTCTGGTTTTTGAAAAGCAAGCAAGATAGTTGTGGTGTTTGGTTTGGCACTGTCACCCATCAGGGGACCTTGAGAGAACTGCTTAGGAGACCTGAAAGTGAGGAAGAAGTCTCTGAGACAGGCTCCTTGAGGTCCGTGGTATTTAAATTGAAATCCAAATGTCCCGTTTTCTGTGGGTGCGCCCTGGGTGCTCCTCCCCGTGAAGCAGGAGGAAGGTAGACCTGCTAGCGCAAGGCTTGCCTGCTCCAAATGCTGAGCCCTCCGGCCTGGGGCCACGGGCACCTCGGGAGCTCAGGTACCTTGTGGGGAGGCACAGACCACCCCTCAGCTCCCAGGTGGGCTTAGCACATGCTCCCTCCATCACCAGAGAAACCCAAAATAGAAGATACTGATGGGAAGGAGGACTGCAGCTGTAGAGAAAATCACTTAGGTGACTTGGGAGCTTGGTGTGATTTAATTAGGGATGGGAAATGAGATTGGAGCAGGAAAATGTTGCTGTAGGGTAAGGGAACATGTAAGAACCTGAGGAAGAGGAGGAGGAGAGGTGAAGGGGACTGGAGTGTGTTGCATTGAGGGGAAAAGGGGGAGATGTGGAGAGGTGCGGCAAATGCAGAAGGAAAGGATACGTGGGAGGCTTGGGAGATTATAGAAGGAAGAAAGGTGGTGGCACAAGCTAATGATGGTAATGCGGACTCCTTAATAGCCTGCCACTCATTTGAGTGGGGTCTCTTATTGATGAACAAACTGCATAAAAGGATGTAGTGCTCTGTTTCAGGTGCTGCCGACGAAGGCAGATAGGTTCGAGTGCCCGTACCTGCGCACACAGGGCCCTCAGGCCTGCAGCTGCGTAGGCCTGGTACGCTGGCTTCTGTGATTGGAGGGGAAAAGCAGATAGCCGCAAAAAGTGACTTTCTGAAAGTTACCTCCTTGTGGATACTAGTACTTGGGCAGATGCTAGATAAAACTGAAACTATTTTCATTCTCTAGAAGACAGAAGCAGACTCATCCTAATTTTCTATTCTGATTATTCATCATTTCTTCTCTGTGACAAAAGTAATGGGTACCTAATATCCAAACAGTTAAACAAGACATACTTCTTCACTAGTGCGTATCAGTGCCTAAAGAGCCTCATATCTCACACAAGTCCTTTCTAAGAGTTCTTCCTGTAATTAGATCCCATTCATAACCCTAACCCACAGCTCCACAGCCCTGTTAATTTTCAAATTTGTTTGTTTTGGTTCAGGAAGCCTTTGAACAGAAAGGACTGCACCCTGACATATTGTCATATCCAAGCATCAACAGCTCTGGCATGTGAAAAGGTCATGCCACCAAACATTAACATTTCAGAACAGCAATTATAGTAATTCCTTTAAATAAGGATTTTTATTTTTTTTGCTGTCCGGTAGCGATAGATACAATCTATGCAGGAGGAAAGACCGGGAAGGCCTCAAATCAAGTTCTGTGTCAATGTCATCTTCTTAAAATAGAGACCCAGAGAAGTTCAGATGGAATGAGTGAGTTGTTCTGATAAGAAGAGGCAAATGTTCATGCATGAAGACAAGGAGAGTGGGGCTATTGCAGGAGGCAGCCCCGGAGTGCAAGAGCTTAGAGAAGGGTCTCTGTACTGCTACCTCATACGCTTTGAAAGGAGTGGACAGATTCATTCAGAAGAGAGCAGTTCTGTGTGCTGTCCAGGGCTTTCCAGCTTCTCCTAAGCAGGGAAAGGACCAGAACTGAAAGACAAGACTCATGGGCTTTGATTCTTCCTACTCACAAATGCCCAGATGCTATTCACTGGTGGACAAATCCTGGGGGAAGGAAAGGACAGGCTACTGATGACACCAAAGAGACCATCCTGTTTCAAAAATGGCATGTTTTGAGAGGTTTGCAGTAAAACACTCTGAGGATTGTTTCTTTCTATTTCCAGCTAATTTTTATTCCAAGATCTGAAAATACTTGGGGTTTAAGCATGTTCTTTCTAGCAAGAGGGTACTTTTATCAACATCAAAATTTTTTAAAGTCCTGAATGATTAATGAAGTTGACAATGATGTCCAAACTCTTCTGCAAATACCTTCTGAATACAATAAAAACTCAAATCTATCTAGGTTCACTGTCAGTTTAATTATACTTTCAGTTCAGTACAGTTTAACTATGCACGCAGCATGTACATGGACTGTAAGCTCTTTGGTGCAGAGCCTTTCTTTTAATTTTGCACAGCTCCTGGTTTAATTGAGCCCTCATTTTGATAGGTCATTACTGTCATACAAAATGGTAGAGCATGTATCTGTCAGAAAATAAAACAGTAGCTCATCAGAAGGAATAAGAAATTTTTATCAGTTCTTTATTGGCCCTATATCTGAACGCTTATCACTTACAGTACCTTTATGTGCTGTGAATATTTTAATTATGTTACAAGTTGTCCTGTGAGAAGCAAAACAAATGGAACCAGGCTTCCTTTGGATTCACATCTTCTTGTCTCTACAGCCCGACTGTCCAGTCGCAACTCCTCTCTGCTGAGATCCCTTTGAGGCCCATCTTCAATCTTAAGAAGGTTCTCTTACACAGGAATGAAAGCAAAATAAGTTTTCACATTTTTGACCATCTGGTCAAATATAGACAAACTGAATTGAGACCCAGATTGAAGGGCCAACCCTGTGTCATCAGACTAGTCAGCTCACTGAAGAACAATCTTTTTTTGTTTTGTCTGGTTTTAGTTCCAGCTATGATAACTTCCTATCCAAATACCACCTTGGCAACGCAAGGTCAGAAGAAGGAGATGAGCTGCACGGCGCATGGAGAGAAACCCATCATAGTCCGCTGGGAAAAAGAAGACCGAATCATTAACCCTGAAATGTCCCGTTACCTTGTTTCCACCAAGGAAGTTGGAGATGAAGTGATCTCTACCCTGCAGGTAAGAAAACAAAGTGACCCACGACTCATCTACATGTGTGAGAGTGTTGATTTGGTTTTGGTAGGGATGCACAGCTACCTCTGCCCTCCCAGGTCAGAGCCCCACCACTCACTCCACCTGTGGCACAGCCCTGGAGAGCTGGCAGCAAGAGGAGGTAGAGGAAACCTCTGCATCCCACCCCTCAGAAAAATTAGTCTCCATCTTCCCATGCTCCAGAGGCAACAAGAGGGAGCCTGGCTCGCCGTCCCTCTGTCCTTTCTGTCTCAGGAGCAGCGTGGCTCATGCCTTAACCTGCCCTTCCTGGGACGGCACGGCTCAGTTTTGAGTACACTGCTGATAAGCGCTGAGTGAATATCTGACCTCTAGTTTCGGTGTGTGTCAGGCTTCCCTTCACCAAAATCATTAAACTGTTTCGAGATAAAAATGCTGTCTTTTTAAAAAGTATTTTTTTCTCCCTCCCTTTCACTTTGTGGGGCTTGTGAGACCATTTTACAAAGTCAGGTTAGTCATCGGATTCAAAGTGAGATGGAAGGAAAAGGCACATGCAGATACGTAAGTAGTACATCTACTGCTGCCAGTAGTATTTGGCACTTCTTGTATGCAGTAGCAGAAGTCCCCAAGCCACCTAGCAAACGGTCATCATCTGCACCTTCACTTCTGCTGCTGTGACAGGCGGCTGCCTGGTGATATGGGAACCATGCATCGCCGCTTGCCTGACAAATCAGTATGTGGGGGACTGTTAACTCCTAAGTGGCTGACCTGGGGTAGATTGGGGGCTACATGAGTGGCACTGCTGTTTTGGGGACTGAAGTTTCCCCAAGATGCCGTGGAAGCACAGGAAGCTCCTGCTGTTCTGGTGTCACCTACAATGGGTGGGATATGATGTTGCCCTCAATATACCAGCATACAGCATTTTCCACTCAAATTTAAACGTACCAACATAAGCAAGTTATCAGTCCATTCCTTTACATTGTTACATGTGCCTTTATGAAATCTAAAAGCATTTTTTTAAAAAAACCATATAGATTCTCAGTTTAAAATCTTGATTTCCTGTCTTTCAGTCACATTCTTAAAAACATTGTTAACAGGCTCAAGGAGATAATTCTCTAGCTCTCTGGTGATTGTGTATTTTCTAGTGTAACTCTTAAGGTATATCTCTTTCTTCACTAGCCAAAAATTTTGTTGGATGATACCCAGTAAAAATCGTGTTTTGCTGTCCATGTGGCAGCTTTGTGATTGATTTCTATGAGGAAGAGTATGTTCTATGTGTGACTTTGTTCATAGTAGAGTATTTGTGTTATGAATAATATTTAATTATAGGGTAGACCCCTAGACCTTTCCGCCCTCATTTGTCTTATTGACTTTAATAAGATAATGCCTGGATGCACAACAGTATTTCTTTTTGGAAGGCTGGAAACCTGCTTGAAGAATTCCCTTCTGAAGCAGTTGTGTACGGTAGTGGTGTTCTATATCCGTATATATGTTGCATACAAAACCTTGGACTTCTGAGAGATAAAATGCCCTCAAAATAGAAAATGTCAGGATTAAGGTTGTCTCTGAAGCTTTTAACTCAGTGCTTTTGCATGTGTGCATGATGATGTGATCTTTAGTTGTATACTCAGCTTTTATTTTTTCTGCAGGACCCCTGCCTCAGTCAGGCATGACTTGGATTTTCTCTGGAGTTGAATTAGGGTTGAGTAATGAAAGACACTGTGTGATGCAAGGCTGATCATTGAAACCAAACTTTTCACAGGTGGCCAATAATTGTGTGTTCTTTGTTTTCTAGGTACTTGCCTTGAGCCCTTGGGGTCTGATTTGCAGAAGTACTAAGCCCTCATAGCTGCAGCTTAACTCAATGGAAGCTGTTATGAACACATGAAATGCTATTTATTGCTAAGGATTCTGAGGGGGGGGAAGGAAGGCCCTAGATGTATTAAATCGGGCTCTGAAAAACTTTGTTTTCCTATCTTAAAGCTCAGCCACACGTGCAACTTAGCCCAGCTTGACAAGTTACCACATCTCAGATGATAACTCCCCGATATCCTTGTAGCAAGTGGTAAATGAGTCCATTTAACTCAACCAGTGGTGAATGAGAGTTGTGCTCATATTACCTTGGCTTTGCTGAGGAATAAAGGGCATGTGGAGTTACCAAGGCTCAGCTAATATGTGTCAACTCGTCAAGCAGCCACAAACGTTATCATATGTCTGGTTCCTTAATTCCCCGTATGAAATGGTGGTAATACTCTTCATGATGTCAGGGTTTATGAAAATAAATTCACTTATGTTTCTGAAAGGGGTATTGCATAGGTGAAGCCACAGAAAAGGTTATGAGAAAATGAGTAAGTCTGTCTTCATGGCACAGTTTGAACTGTGTGCAGTAAATAAAGTGTGGAGCAGCACACTGAATAATGAGAAGAAAATGGTATTTGGAATATCTACTCGTTTAAAAAAAAATCCTCTCCCTATTGTACTTTCAGTGAAGCAGTGGTCCTGTAGAAAAATGTCATTATGATCATGTACGTAAAGATTATGTATACATTTCTATGTTATTGAATAACAATTTGAAGAGAAAGACCACCCAAAATTTTATTCTGAGGCACCATGTTAAATACTACAGGGTTCACCACCAGTGTTTGAACCTTTATTTCCTCCACACAGACTTCAGCCACTCGAGTTATTTTCAGAAATAACTGGAAAAATTTGGAGGCAGCATTTTGTGTATGGAAAATTTCAGCCAACTGTTAAATACTTGGCAAACTTCTGAGTAACTGGAAACAGGACTCCTAATGAGAAACCACAAGAATAGGTGGTGCTCCAGCTCCTGACTACACATGTAGAGCTGAAAGCCTGCTTCCTCAGCGCAGGTGTTGGTAGTTTTGATAAGTCTCAGTATTTTGGATGCTTTGCTATGCGTATGTATGTATGTGTATAACATGCAATATCTATTTATTACTGTCAAGTAAAACAGTTTGTACAATTTGTCTTGCACCATACAGAAAAGCTGTTGGTTTCTTTTCTCTGCGTGCTGTTCAATCAATCACTTCTTTTCAAACCACCTATAGATTTTGCCAACTGTGCGTGAAGATTCTGGCTTCTTTTCCTGCCATGCCATCAATTCTTATGGAGAGGATCGTGGAATAATTCAGCTCACTGTGCAAGGTAGGAAGAGGACAACATAAGGAAAAAAACACAGCTATTGTAGTACAGTAAGTGTATGCCATCCTCCGAAATCTGTTGGGGGGAGGGAGGCACTGATTCCTAATTAAATGCATTCCTCATTGTCAACGACATGAGGAGCCACATTAAGATGCTCAGTCTTTCATTTTCCAGCATCACAGATTAAATCAGAACAAAGGATAAGCTTGAGTCTTTCTAGATCTGTACAAATTAATAGGAAGAATTTTTCTTCACTACACTCGCTGACAATCTACTGGAGACACTTAAAACTATCATCTTCAGCAGGGACGGTGGACATGAGGGGGTACTTTTTGAGGGGAGAGGGTTGCATCTGTTTTTAAAGAACGAAAGTGCTTAAAACCCGAGTCTGAAATAAAGCAAAAGTGATCTGACTTTAGCTCTAGAGAAACGTTAAGCCTACTGTGGATCCTTCAACAAAATATTTCAAGTTTAATCAGTCAAAATAAATTGCAATCAGTTTGCACCGTGCAAATTCTAGGAACCTATGGTGCCCAGGGCTGGGGTTCCCTTCCCGCGGGGTTTCACTCCGGCAGACAGGAGCAAGTCCTGGGGTGGCCGAGGTGACAACGTTTGAGATGCAGAGCACGGGCAGGACTCAGCCACTGGCCACTGCCGATTTCTGTGCGATGCTTGTTCCTGTGCTTGTATGCCTTTGAGCATGCACACAACACGTTTCTAGGACTTGCAGATTCCTTTCTGCCCGCTTATGATTTCAAGTAACAGCAGATTTCAGTGAATGCCTAAGGCAGCTCTGTCGAAAAATTTAGGTGGAGTTTGGGGACAGGTTCTCAGTTACACCACTGCTCGTTTAAACTGCCGTGAAAATTTAAAGGGGCATTAGAATGGGTATAAATACTATTTATTTACAACCTTAACTCTAGAGGCAGAAAGAGGCTTTAGTGTAATTTTATACTGTTATCAAATTATTCTGTTATTAAATTAAGTCTTTTAAACAAACTCAAAAAGATAGAAACCTTGCTCCCTCCCCCCACCAAATTTAGCACTTTTAAGTTTAATATTCATATTTCTACCATCACCTTTTGGGTAAAAACTGTAGAAGTATCAGTGAAACGTGGTGTTCAAGGCAAAAATCTTTCCTAGCATGAGTAGTCCAATCTGGAGCGCTTTTAAGGAAACGCAACTCTACGTTGCATGTAAGAAGGTTACACAGAAGTCAGTATTCAAGATTACATCAGTGCCTCATAGTAGAAAAGTGACTTTTCCTCCCTCTGCTGAGTATTCTTCAGCAGATGGTTAACTGGTTCAGGGTGCTAATGAGTGACCGGAGAAAATGCCGTGAGAGCTTACCACCGGTAAGCTATGCCAGTGCCACACTCATTGATGTTATCCTGTCAAGAGTACGAGCTTTCTTCTGACTGAAACCCTGTGTGTTCACTCAGAGCCCCCCGACCCTCCTGAAATAGAAATCCGAGAGGTGAGAGCACGCAGTATTGCCCTCAGGTGGACCATGGGATTTGATGGAAACAGCCCCATCACCGGCTATGATATCGAGTGCAAGAACAAGTCAGGTAAGAAATAATCTTCCTCTGAAGTAATCCCTGTTGCTAGTCATTCATCACTGAATGTGTATCGTAAAAGATAATTCACAAATTGAAACTGCCTGATGGAAATTTTTGCCATGGTTTATTTAATCTTCCACAGTAAGATTTATCTTCATTTGTTGTCTTTTTTTTTTTTGTTTTTTTTTTTTTTTTTTTTTTTTTTTTTTTTGAGGTAAGGATATTAAGTTTAGCAATTGCTACTTTTCCCTTTTACCAGAGAAACCTACACATAAGGGGAACAAATTTTCTGGTAAAACAAGCCATTCTAGGTGATAACTGGTATGATGGTTTTGCTAGCTCATTCCTCGTCCCTGTTCTTATCTATTCTCCATTTGGATTTTTTTTTTTCCCTTTTCATTTTCTATTTTTCCCTGTAGAAAAAATACGTGCCTTTACAAATTATCTTTTCCTGTAGTGCTGATTTTTAGAAGTTATTTTCTGTTGATGTGAGAGTACATGGCATCTTCCCTGGAAAGTTAGCAGTGAAAAAGGGCAGTTATGAGAATTTCGAGACAAGGAAAGCTGTATGGTAGTTTACTGAACCACCGTGCGGAGTTCTTAGTAACATACTGCAAATGAACATCAATGAACATCTAGTAGGATGAATGAGGTGAATAGTTAAAAAAAAGGAAAAAAATGCAGCCCCCCTAAGTCAGGGAGGTATTCCTGATCCTGTACATATTAAGCTCCCCAAATATTCACTGTCTATTGAAATCTAAAAACATTCAAGGTGCATTGGAACTACGTTTGTGATGTAAGATCGCACTTAAAATGGGGCACATTGTTAAGCACTGTCCCTGAGTCATGACCGAGAAGGGACTAGAAAGGAAATTGCAATGGAACAACGTTTTCATATTTCAAGTATGATTAAAAAGACACTGAGAAATTATATTGTACTATTTTATGTTGGAGTTTGTTGCACTATTTGTAAAGGGACGGATTCCATCAAGAGGAATTTCTATGTGTGCTAGTCAGCGAAACGATCTGTTTATTGAGGCAACTAGAGTACATTTATAGTCTTCTTACTTTAGTTCTGAGATGTAAAAATGTACTTGTTCATAAAATTCTAAACTTTGCCAATTTTTTAGAAAAATTATTCTTTGCTATTTTTCATTTGTGCTTTACTTACTTAGGCAAAAAAAGTTGTGATGCTTTCATTACTAGATAAAATATTTTCAGGAGTGTTAAACCATCAGTCACCGCTTTTGCATTGGCTTTGTAAATGAAATTGGTAATGTCCAGGTGAGCATCGTACCTGAAAGATTCCAAGTGAAAATGCCCCGCTGAGGCTGTGGTCAGGAATCACAACTTCAGAGATGGAGACTAGGCAAGGATGCCTTCAAGGAACACGTATACCTAAAAGTTTCTGGGCTTTGTTTTCTTTTTTGATTCTTTTTCTTTCTTTCCAATCACCCACCTGCTCCAGAACAGTTTTTGAAAGTCATTCTTGCCTGACAGGCTCCTTTCTCACCCTAAAAGATCACTTGTATTTCTGAATCGTGTAACTCAGCATAACCCCATCCAGGAAGACTGAGCTGCTTTCCTTTGATTGAAGCAGTGGTGGAAAGAGACTTCAGAGCTCTGAATTGTTAGATTGAGTTCAATGTTTTCAGGTGATAATGCAGAATGCAGGCAAAGATTAAGTGGTAATCACTGTGAACTTGCATTGCAGAATGATGTCTCTGTAATATGGCATGATAAATCAATAGCAAGACAGCAAATGAGGCGCTATCGGGTTGCGTGAAAACATCAAGACACAACGTAGTAATAAAGGTTAAAAAACTGAAAGAAAGAAAAAATAGTGGGTGGCAGAATTGGTGTTGGAGAAAATATTTCTTTTTCTATGTATGAAGACAAATACTGGAGGTGATGTCCTAAAAAAAGCAGATTATCTTCATCTCTCTGCAAACAACAGAAACATCGTTTTTTAGAATCTGAGGATGAATGTTTGGAGAAACTAGGATCAGGTTTTTGAATTCTTGCACATGGTTTTTGTCATTAATTAAGTCATCAAAAAGATGAAACACCAAAGATGGTTACTGAAAAACTTGCACAGGGTGGTTGGGGGAACTTAGAACAAAGAAGGGAGAACTAAAACTTCTCACAGTTTCCAGATTCTAAAGGGACGGAAGAAAACTTAGATAAAACATTCCCAACCCAGACGGTAAGCTCAGGGAACATCCTGCCGAGGCCAAAGTAAAGATGTAAACTGCACAGCTGTGTTTACTGAGAATTTCCCACCTGTGTTGCTTACCCTGAGGACTCAGAAATGGATTTACAGCAGGATGCACCCTCTAGGCTCTTCAAGAAGGAAAACTGCAGAACTTTTCAGTTTCAGAGAATGTGCAGGTGACCACATACCATGCGTGGACTTCATATACGGTGCTGCCCTCGTGTATCCTATCTAACCCTCCCGTGCCATCAGACGGAAAAGACACATCGGTGACCCTCTAGAAGGAGCATGGAGTTGCCTGGCACGTGGGTAGGGGTCATCTGTAGGGTCCAGTTGCTGTACGGGAGCAATATGGATAGTGGGAGCTCAGCATTTCAGGCTGTTTCAGTACTTAGATACAAGGCCTGTCTGTACAGAAACGTACTTGCGGCACTCAGGCCTGACCTGTCATTGAAACCACTGATGTGTAGCCATCAGACTTTTCTGTCGGAGGTGTACAGAAAGGTTTGAAGATAGGAACAGGTATGTGGATCCTTCTTTGTGTCTCTCACCTCATCCTTTTCGGTTTTTTAAGTCCTTAGGGAAAGCTGAGGGGCAAACTGAACAGTGTTCTGTTTAAGTCCTGAGCTGAAGGGAGAGGACTGGGCTTTGTGCTTTCTTGTGCTCACGTGGGATCTGAGCATCCTTTAGGATGCACATCACAGAATCCCAGACTGGTAGGGGTTGGCAGG